TACTCTAGAAGAAGTTAAATGCAATCCAAGATAAGTGAGCAGAACACATACTAATTGTCCTCAGTGAATTCAAGTCACCTGTTTGGATGATCTAAACCTCTAGGTATTAATTGTGTTTGGATAAATGATACCTTAAACTGCTCTTGGGAATCTTTAAGCAATTATTCTGATTGGAACAATTGCTACTGGACATGAACAAATTTAGCAAATTTAAATAAAAGGAAGAATGTGTATATTTCAAATGATAGGCTGTTAAGCTTAGCAAGTCCTTCAGTTAATAATATTTATTAAACATATTATAGGCTAAGCACTGGTGATACAAAGAAAGGCAAAATCATGGTCCTGATTCCCCTATAAAAGATTATGCAAATACCTACATATGTAAAATATTTATTCAGCATAAATGGAAGGAAATCTCAGACGGCAGGCACTTGCAGCTATGAAATGGGGGTGGAGTGAAAAGATGTGAGAAGAAAGGAAATCAGTCCTCCAGAAGGTGATCCAAGGCTTGATAGAAGCCAGGGAAACTGAGAAGCAGCAATGAAGAGGAAGAGCATTCTAGGTATGGAGGTTAGCCAATACAATGAGAGGTGGAGTCTCCTGTGGGAAGAATGATAACTACATCACTGTAAGTGGACTATAGAATATATAGAAGAGAATAAATCGTAAGAACACTGGAAAGCGGCCAGATTAGGAAGGGCTTTAAATGATGAAAAGTGGCATTTATATTTAATCTTAGACACAGTATGGAATCATTGGATGTTATTTGGTAGGGGATAACATGATCTGATCTGCCCTTTACAAAAACGACTTTAGCAGCTGATCTTTTGTAGTTGAGAGAAGACTGAGACAGAGACCAGGCAAGGGACTACTTTACTAGTACAAATGAGTGATGATGGTGTGTGAAGTGAGAGAAGATAATGATGAGAAATATTATAAGGGTAAAAATGACAATATTTGACAATGCATTGGGTATATCAGGTGACTAAGGGTGAGGAGTTGAAGATGACGCTGAGTTTGTGGGTGTCCTTATTAATGATGGAGAACTCAACAGTAACAATGAAGTTGAGAAAAGGGGACTACTCTTTGGGATTGGGGAAATATAATGAGTTTTGTTTTGGACATGTGGTAGGAAGGCCTACAGAATCGTATTGATACAAGATGCAGTTGGTGAGGGAGGACTGATTCTCAAGTGTGACATTAAGACTAGCAATCCTCTCCCCTCCCTCCCAATAGGGATGATACATATACATGGCTTTGAAATGGTTAAATGACCAGCTGCAAAAAAAAAAAAAAAGTCTTTAGTACAATGGCTTGCTTTGGGAAGCAGCAAGTTCCACTTTATTAAGATCTTCAGGAAGATACTGGACTACCACTTGTCAGATATATTATAGTAGGATTTACTTAACATTTGGGTTGGAATAGGTAGCCACTAAGGACCTTTCCAACTGTCAAAATCTTTCATTCTGTTTCATAGTAGATAGTAATTCATCTTAGAGGGAAAGGCACCGGCAGCTGGTGAGCCACCTATGTCTGGTCAAAATTTTCAGAGAGAAGGAAACTGAGGCCCAGTTAGGTTAGACTTGTTTCTAACAGATCATTCAAGTCTTAAACATCACTGCAAGGCTTTGAACCCACGTCCTCATATGACCGAGCCAGTGTTCTTTTCATTTTGTTATTCTGCCAAAATGAGCTAATATAAAATTCAACAATTAAACCAACAGTAAAATGAAATGAATGAAAGTGAATAAGATATCACTATAAATAATTCATAAAATAGTCTAGCAAAGAAAATCATTCTAAAATTGGTGTTTATCACCCCCTCCATATCCTTTGTGCTCAGCCTCCCATTTCCTCTACCCTTTATGTTTTATAGTATCTACTATCTCAATTTTCTATCTCTGTCACCTTTACTCTACAACTTCCATTGTCTTTTATTAAAGGAGTAACCAAATGTGTTATTTTCCACACCAAAACATCCTATCTAAAAAGAGTTGGCTAAAACTTAAAGACGGTATAACTTTAAAAAGCTTTGGGAAATATTTCATTCCTCTTTGCGTCTCATCCCCAAGACTGTTAAAGATTATTTTCTTTTGAATTCTACAATTTACTTTATATTGTTAATTCTTCTTGATATGTGTACTTAATTTAGTACTACAAATGTTTGTAATTATTGTAATAACACCAACAAATGCCTCTAGATGACTGCATTTTTTCCCACCAAGATATGGCAAGAAAGGGGTAAGATTCTGAGAGTGATTAAGCTTTATCTAGTATCTTAATTATGCTTCTTTTTGCTTTAAAAATCTTCTTAACAGATACGATAGTCATTTATTGAGATTTGAATTTCACTTATATACACCACATATAAATAAATGTATATATACATACATGCACATATATGTGTGTATGCATGAATACACATATATATGTAAATCTGTTGATTTATTATAAATCTAAAATTTCTGAGATACAGTTCAATGGGTCCTATATGACTGGTGGGTTAACTATTCAAACATACATACATATACACAAAATATGTAGGTATAAGAGACTATGCTAGATGCATGTTTCTCTTTTATAGGTATATAAAAACTAATATGTATAATATGTATATATTTGTATGCGTATATATATATATAAATGTCATATAAATACATTAGCAAATGTATGCTGATTAGCAGAATGCAGCCTAGATATGCAAAAACGAAACAAAAAATGATTATCATATTTGAAGGAATTAAAATTTTTTAACGCAAATGAATCATTTTTGAGCTAACTCCCACCATTCTAAAAAGAATTGTTTCATAATAGTCTTGAAATTAAACTGCACAAAGGAGAAAAGCACAAATCTAATGCATTTTTTCATCTCTAAGCACAAATGCCTAACTAACTATGATCTAATAAAAGCATACAGCCTAGATAGCAGAAAGTTTTTTATACAATAATTTTTTTATTTGTTTGGTTTGTAAAATAAAAAAAAATTTAAAGCATTCTGTCCTATTAAAGTTGGGTGCATTTTCTAATATGCACAAAATTAAAGTTAATAGGATCATAGATTTAGTTTTGGGAAGGACTTATAGAGAAGATCTAATCCAAGTCCCTCATTTTGAAGATGGAGAATCTGAAGTCAAGAGAACTTTATGACTCTCTCAAACTCAAAGGGATAACAGTGGAAAATTTGGAATTAAACTGGTCTTCAGTCTCCAAATCTATTGTTTTTACTGATTACGTGTGTGTGTGTGTGTGTGTGTGTGTGTGTGTAAATTATTTTATTCCCCAAATAGAACTCATTGGAAAAGGATACAGGAACTTTAAAAATCATCACTTAAAATACTCTCTCTTACAGATGAGGAAACTGAGGTCCCCCAAAAGAGAATTTACATACCAAATGTCACATAGGGAGAAAGATCAATATTCAAATCCAAGTCTCCTATCTACAAGTTCTATCACTTTTTATACTACCTCCAAAATACAAGGTATTACAGACAATCGCAACATATTAGCAATTTAAAGTGAGAATTGGAATTATAGTTGATTTCTAGTCTGTGATCCAAGATTTGTGGCCATAACACTGATAAAGAGGCAAATGGATTTGTGGCTTCCTGAGCTTACATATTCTTTAAATGATGCTGATCACAACTCATCTAGGCCCTCCCATACTGTGAAACTTTAATTCATTTCCTTTCTAAGTTGATTCCAAAGAGTCTACCTAAAGAGCTATAGACTTTCCTAATTTTCTCCAGAAATCCCAAGGTACAAATAGGACATCCTGACTCTCAACTCTAGTGTCGTACAGTAGAAAGAACACTCAATTTGGTGTCAGAATATCTCAGTTAAATCCTACCTTTGCCACCTGCTACCTGCTTCACCTTAGGCAAGTCAGGTAAACTTTCTTTTTCTCCTTTTCCTCAGCTATTGAATGAGACTGATTGTACTACATGGCCCATGGTCCCTTCTGTTTGTAAGCCTCTAATCCCTTGTCATGTGACTAGCCTATGTTCTTTTTCTATAATATAATTCCCTGATGACATTTCCTTTTCAAAGCTTTACATCTGTCATATGTTGAAACTGGCTGTCATCCACCCACCAAGCACCTCTTTATTGCTGTTTCTGTGATATTTAATTTCAATTCCTCAAAGACAGTTATGTTCCAAGCCTTGCTGCCACAGTAGACTGCTATAATATAGGTATTATAATATAAGAACTTGTTTCTTGGAGATGTTTAGGGTCATAAAAGGGACAACAATATTCTGATGTCAAAGCAGCATGACTTTTTTCTTACATTAAATTTTTGGATGGACTTCTTGACTATTTGTATTCTCTATTGTACTATCTATTTGTACTGTCTATATTGATATGTACTAAAAGCCAAGAGCTACGGTTTATTGAGTCAACTGCATATAATGATCAGGGCAACATTTTTCATCTACTATTCTTTCCTTCATTACTGGTCTAGCTGAACATTTGACTCTGTATAGATCTTTTTTTTAGAAGGTTCTACAACGGTATTAACTGAGTAAATCATAAGAAATATATGCTACATCTACAAAAGGTATGCCACAAACCCTAGTATGTAGAAAATAAGAAGATAACCTATATTAAAGTCAAAGCTTTATCATTTTCAAACTCAGCTCTGGGCTGACAGACAATATCAGAGGCAAGAGATCATCAAATAGGTTTGGTCTAAAAGATCTTGTTTTCATGTTTGGCAAAGCAATCTGTTTGGGTTCTGTCCTAGTTGTTAATATTGTGAAAGGTGCAGATAATTTTTTAGTCCCATTCTAATTTGTTGGAAATATATAATCACATCTTAAACTCAAGCACATTTAACAATAGGCATGTAAAAATTTATCTGTTGCATATTAAATCACAAGACAGACACATACATATACATAATACATAAATATATGCATATCAATATTCATATTATATATCTATATATTTATACACAGATAGGTAGATAGAGATATATGCAAAATAGAATGAGTAGCACTCACCAATGACAGGGAAGAGTCCTGGTACTAAACATCATGTTGCAAATGAATATGGTTCATCCAATCCACAATCTGCTATAAAACTCATTGCTAAAATCTCTTCTATAATCCTCCATATCTAAATAAGAAATAAAAAAAATCAAAACATTTTAATTTCATAATGTTTAACAGGAATCATACCCAGCTTAGAAGATTAAAAGAGCTCACAATTATAACATATTTCAACTAACAAAGCACTCTCTTGAAAATAACCTTATCTTATAGAAAGTGTCGGAATTCTTCATACATACATAAATACACACACATATATATTTATATATGTACACATACACATATACGTGTGTGTGTGTGTAAATACAGATTATATGTATTTATTTTTCACATTCATTTTTGTAAAATTTTGAGTTCCAAATTTTTCCCCTACCTCTGAACCTCCCCAAACTGTTGAGAAGGCAACCATTATGATTTCAATTATACATGTAAAATCATGCAAAGCATATTTCCACATTAGATATTTTGCAAAAATAAAATAAAGTGAAAAAAGTATGGCTCAATATGGAACTCAGACTTCATCAGTTCTCTCATAAGGTGCATGACATTTTTCATCTTGAGTTCTTCAAAATTGTCTTGGATCATTGTATTGATCAGAGTAGCCAAGTGACAGCATTCTTATCTCAATTTCACAGATAATGAAACTAAGGCCCAAAGAGGACATCTTGCACAAAATCACTTAAGTGGGGGAGTTATAACCCTAACCTAGGACCCTGTACCCAAATCCATTATTTCTATTTATATCACACTTTTTTTCCTAATTATACTACATTAATTAGTGGGAAATACATGTGTTGTTTGAATATTGCTTTCAGTTATAATATAAACATCTCAGGAATAAAATTGGACCATGTATTTTGACCTCTCTCTTCCCCTCAAAAAAAAAAATTAACCAAGGTTAGGCACACAGTAGTTGCTCAGTGAATGCCTGATGACAAATTAAAAAACTGAAATTAAGAAACATGCTTAGATTAATAAATACAATGAGTTAGTATCACAATTGTAAGGTAATTTATATATTTCTTTTCTCTTTCAGAATCAGAAAAGGGGGTAGGTGGGAGTTGATTGAAGAGGGAACTGAAAATAGATTCTTTAGAGGCTTTAATTCCATGAAGAATACAGAGATAAAACAATGAATAAGCAAATAAACATACCATCAAATACAGAATGAAAGTTTAGAATAAATGCAAGAGAATAGATTTAATAGGATGAGGGAAATAATTCTTTTTGAAAGAAGATATAGAAAAAGAAAAATAAACCAAATAAGTTGAGGGGCAGAGAGGAAGGGGGATGTTACTTAATCACTTGACTGAGAGAGGAAAAAGGGAGACTGAATATGATAACTAGATAAAAAGGAAGAAAGAAAAAATAAATTTGTTGTTTAAATGAAACTCAAAATATGGAACGCATGACATTTGGGAGAGTTGTGAGAGAAAGAGGGAAAGAGAATCTGTGGGAATAATGTTGCATTAAATTATATTAAGCAAAAATAACCCCAAAAAGTGCTTTATAGAGGAGAAGCAACATAAAAAAATTCTGAATTCAGAAAAGCAAGAATATTAAGAGACGAAGGGAAATATAAACCTAACTCTCATAATTCTAAACGTAAACGCATTCAACAATCCAATAAAATAATTTAAAAAATGACACATTGAGTAAAAAAACACAACCCCACAATCAGCTCATTCTATCCCAGAAAGAGAGAAGGGAGATATGGGTATGATGTCCATGTCGTGCCAAAGCTACTCATATAAAAGTATACAAAATTATTACAAAGTAAATACAATATAATCTTAAAGGGGAGGTAGTAGGTGTGGGAACATAGAAAAGCCTCCTACAGAATCTGGCTTTTCAACTGAATGTTGAAGGACCCCACAGATTCTAAAAAGCTAGGTGAAGAGGGGTAGAATTTCAGGCATGGATGACAGATACTGAAAAGGTACAGGGACAGGAGATGGGGTACTTTGTGTGAGAAATGACAAGTAGTATGGGGTTGCTTTACCATAGAGGCAGGAAAGAGGAATTACGTGTTACAACACTGGGAAGATAAGAAAAGGCCAAGCCAAGAGCTTTAAATGCTAAAAAGACGAGTTTATGTATAATCCAAGGGATCATAGATATTTGAATTCATTAAGTAGGTGGAGTGATGCGGTGAGACCTGAGCCTTGGGGAAATACTGCCTCGATGTGTAGTACTTATAATTTCTCAGGGAATGAATGAAGGATTGCAATAGAACTGTTAAATATCAATATTGGAGAAATACTCATTCTATTGTTGTGGTCTACTTGACAAGCAGAAAGTAAGGAAGATTATTTCTATTACTCGATATTTCAAAGGATAGATGCTTCTCCATTCTATCTTCCCCCCTGTAACTTCCCCCTTTCACTCAACATACACAGTGATTGGATTATGATGAGAAAAAATATTACAGACAAGAAAACCTTTTAATGATTCCCAGTAAGCCCTAAACTGTGAATATGTTAAACATGAGAGTAATGAACTTAGAAACAAGGTTAATTTCTCACCCAAACAAGTTATGTGGCCCATACCACAATGTAGTTCACACATTTTGCTAATTTTTTCATGAACTTCCCAGAGAAATATTTTGGTGTGCAAGAAAATCCCAAGGGTAACATGTACAAGCTCCATAATTTCAAGAAACTAAAATGATTTTAAGTCTTTTAAAAACAACACTCTAGGTAGCAGTCACCTTAATTGGTGTTCATTAACAGAGATTCTTGAAAGGCATTTAGGATTAAAAACATTTTACAAAAATTATTCACTCTTAAAATATAATAACATTTGATCTAATATGAAAATAGCCATTCATGCTAATAAATAATTGGCACCAATAGTCAAGTAGCTGTCAATGAGTAGTCCTAAAAACAATTCATTCCTGACAGGTCCTGGGAGAGTTCAGTACAACCACTTAGCCATTAAAGGCCATGATAGTACTTGCATGTGCTGTGAATTACCAATTATATAATTGTTTTACTAATACATGGAAGAGAAAATATATGTGACTTTTGATGAAATTTATATTCACTTACTCCTCTTCTAATTCAGTGTTGCTCCAGGGAATATATTTGCCTCCCTGAACTAAAACAGACCCTGAATGCCTGGAAAAATTATTAAAGTTGGCCCTTGTAGTTGGGGAGTAGGGAGATGGGATATGTTCTAGCTTTACAATGGAGAAAAATAAATTAATAACCAAAGAAAAGTCCCAAGGCTTTTAAAAAAATATTTCTTTTATGGGCAGCTAGGTGGCACAGTAGATAGAAAACAGGCCCTGAAGTCAGGAGGACCTGAGTTCAAATTCATCCTCAGTCCAAACACTTCATGCTTACTAGCTGAGTGACTCTGGGCAAGTCACTTAACCCCAATTGCCTAACATATATCTATCTATCTATCTATATATATATATCTATATATATCTATATATATCTATAGATATCTATAGATATATATAGATATATAGATATAGATGGATATAGATATAATAGATAGAATAGATATAGATATAGATAGATAGATATAGATATATAGAGATATATAGAGATATATAGACATATAGATACATATATATATCTCTCTCTATATATTTTCTCTCTATATATTATATATGTATGTATACACACACATACATATACATATATATGTATACACACATACACAAACATATACATATATACACATGCATATACATATGTATGTATACACATACATACATATATACACACATACACATATGTGTATATATATCTATATATCTATATCTGTATCTATCTATATCTATATCTATATCTATATCTATATCTATATCTATATCTATATCTATATGATTTTCCTTTACAGACAGAATTAAAAACTCATCCTGGTAATAGGTAACACAAGAAGGGTGGTTTTAGTATTCACACTCGTTTACTAATTAACTCAAGCACATTAAGCATCCAACATATAACAGTATATGCACACACACACACACACACACACACACACACACACAACATCCTCTAATGCAATTAATGGATAGCAGTCTTCATACCATTATATATTAAAATCAAGGAATTAAGTAACCATTATTACTGGCCAAAAGATAGAGAAATTTAGGTAGTTATACCCCTACAAAAATCATCTCAACCAATATAATGTATCAATTACATTATTAGTTCTCTCTTTGGGAACATTATGAAACCCCTATTGTTTTTTGGTAGTAAGTCCAATTGCTACAGGACAGATACTAGCTTAACACTCATTTCTTGATCTGTTCTGTTGGGATAACCCAACCTTTCTTCTGCTCAGGGATTCTGCTGCTGCTCTGCTTTGCCCTGCTCCATGTCAAAATTGCTAAACCACTGGGCTGTCAGTGCTCTTACCTGCCCAATCAATCTCTAGAGCTCTGCCCTATATTTTCCCAGCCTCAGGGATGTCCCTCTGTCCTCAGCCATGATAAATTCATCTTGTGTTTGGAGTTGAAATGTACAGAAATTCTGGACTCTGAATCTAATGAACTCACCTGGTCCTTCCTTTCTCCTCCTCCAAGGTCACCCTAGCTTTTCTATAAAGGTTTAGGGAAAACTCTGCCCTACTGCTCTCCAATTTGTAACATTATTATTATGAAACTGACTATCCACTGCAATGACTGTTAATCTTATGTCTTTCGGGGAACCAATCAAGGACTTTATGCAGGATATGCTTAGAAAAATTACAATCATATTTCCCAATCACATACACAAAAGCACAAGTTTTCTTGAATAACCAAACAGAAGGACAACAAGTTGATTTACTATTGACCAAACACATACAAACACAAAAATATTAAAATTGTAGCACAAATACAGAAAAGGATTACTTATTTTTTTAAAAACACTGTTTATGAGGATAATGAACAAAATGCAAGAAAAATCTCCTATTCATCTTCTGTAGCTCTCTAGATGTGATCAAGAGTGGTATTGTAAATAGGAATCCCTTAGTTCTATCAGTTATTAAAGGATGCACAGCTGTGTGATTATCAAGCTCTAATATTGTCTGTGCCACATCAGGTGTAACAATATTGAGATTTTACAA